GAAAGAATCTTACATTTTATGCCTTCAAGTTTTCAATGCCTTTAAAAAACACAGCCTTGTTCTGTTGGTGAAACATTCATAATACCACAAAACAGAAGCTACTATTTAAACAAACAAACAACAAATGTTAGAAAGGAAAGAATTATACACACACACACACACACACACACACACACACACACACACACACACACACACACACACACACACACTTGTTTGAACTACAGACATTGTAGTTCAGACTTCTTTCACCTGTAGAAAAGGCCAAATGATTCAAACAATTGATTTCAGACGCTTTTTTTGTTCTTATTACAGACAACTAATAGAAACCTAACACGACATGACTGCTGAAGTGTAATCAAGTACAATTACTTTCAGGTTGTAATTTACATCGCCAGACAGATATTACACCATTGCAACGACGAGATTGATAAATTTGTGAAGGAATCATTCAGATCGGATTAATTGATTCATTTGAAAGATCTGACTCAAAAGAATGATTCGTTCACAAATCGATCAGATCTTTCAAATGAATCAATTAATCCGATCTGAATGATTCGTTCAGGAATCGTATTTGATCCTAAACAAAAGATGCGTTATTGTTTTCTTATCAAACTTATTTAATAAAATGTACACAACTATATTTCACTAAATATCTAACAATGCTCATGGGAGGATCAACACTATTATGAATGGGAGTGAAAAAAAGAAGCCAACAAGCAGTTTACCAATTAAAAGGCAATATATTTAAGAAATGCCACATAGATATTATCCAATCTGATCAAATAAAACTCTGTAAAACAACCAAACAAAAAAAATATATATACGTTTTAAAACAGCTCTTCATAGTTATACTTTGTTGATAACGGAAAACACCGACTCTAGTTTCACTCATGTGACATAACCCTCTATAAACAAGATAAATATATAGCTTCTTAAACTATTCAAATACAACAAATGTATATTAGGCAAAAACACAAGGAATATAAATAGTATAAATTATGCTCTCACGCAAATTTAAACATGATACTCTCATAGTTGATATTCATGTAAAGTAAAAGTCAAATCAATTTTCTGACAAAGTAGAAAAGGCTGAATGTGAAGGATGCTCTCAGACTCGTATGCTACAGGCTGAACATTATTGTGTAGCTACAAATACTGAATATGTATTTGAGTTGATATCAGTACCAGCACTGGTTCTGGTTAACGTTACAGCCATTTTTGCAGCTAGATGACTGGAAGGAGACTCCCATCATACTGAGAGATGGAGGAGGAGAATTGCAGTACAGCTGAACTCCAGCAGGGGGAACCATACACTGCGTCTGCCCGCCCTGACCAGACACCAGCATTGCAGACGGATGCTGCTGCTGCTGCTGCTGCTGATGATGATGTGGTACCTGAGAGAAGAGACGGTACATATAGATGTTTCATGATGAATAATTATTTCAATATTTCTATTCACTCAAATTAGACAAATTTTAAATATATTAAAAAATATACATTATAAATGTTAAGTATTTTTATTATTATGTAGTCGACATTATTTTATACTTTATTTTTACAATAATTATAAATTATTTTATCATTATTTTACATTAAATGTATAAATGAGCAAATAAATAAACTATAATAATGATAACAACATTACTGTTGTTATCATTACTGTTTTATAAACACAATATCACACTTGTAGCAGTGCAATATGGCTGTATATCGTCACTGGTGGGATACTACGGCACTCGGCCTGTGGCCTCGAGCCAATGCACGCTTCCCACCAGTGCTCATGTACAGCCATATCACACTGCTACTCATGTGATATTGCTCATTTATATATATGAATGAAGAGATAAATAAGTAATGAATAATAATAATAATAATAATAATAATAATAACCATTAATCTGTGGGTATTTAATTATATATATATTTATATAAAAGTATTTTGACAAAAATGTATGTAAAAGTTTGTTATAAAAAACAAAGTAATATTTGTCATTTTTGTCGTTGTCATTATGTAATATGCAATAAATAAATAAATAAATAAAAACTTAATAAATAAATAAACAATTATACACAGATTAAAATTAACAACTACATTTTTTTAGTATAGAGATTTTTTTGTAGCTTTATACCTGGTAGGAGGTTACAGATGAGTAAGCTCCCATAATGCCTTGCTGTGTTTGTGGTAAAACCTGACTTCCCATCATGCCCAGGCATCCTTGTTGATTAGAAACCACAGGCTGATATCCTGTAGAAAGAAATGACAAATACACACATGTGAGATTTCATGTTTTTTGTTTGTTATAGTGATTAAGATTCAAAATAACAGCAAACACAGACAGTTCCATGCATTCTTCATTTATTTCCACACACTGAACCCATAAGGTGTGCTGCGACCAGGCTGTATCTCCTCATCTGCTCATATTATTGCAGAAGTGAATAGCAGGAAAAGAGACCGGTTCACTGTGAGACGAGTGGCAGCATCTCTGACAGTAGAAACGGCCCCCTGTCCTACTACTGACAGACCCATGAGCAGA